GCCACGATCCAATCCGGTCTCGTCTCTTTCTTGGTCTGGTAGGGGGGATTGCCCCAGCATCCGGGATGCGAATTCCCGATCCGGATTCTGAAAGCCCAATCGCCGCCTGGCTGGGGGCTGCGTATCCTAGCGGAGCCCCTCGCATCGGAAGGCGGGACGTGCCTCCCCTCGGCGCTCCGATCGATGGCTGGGAGACGCTGAACCGCTTCCTTTAGGGTCGGTTCCCGGAAACTCGCAGGGATTTCTCTCTTCCTTTGCCTGCTCTACTGGATCGGGCAACAAACTTCGGAGTTGAACTTTCTGTGCCTTTGCCATCATCGCCATGGGTAAGCGGGAGAGCTTTAAGACATCAATAACAGGATATACAGTAATTTTGGAGCTTCCCACAAGAACTTCAATGCACATCCTTGAAGAAAACGATTTATCATGGAAAGCTCACTTTTTTAAAAAAATATTCTTAATGGTAGATTAAATATACCACCTGTTCCTAAATTTGTACAGGCTTTATGGTATACCAATAGGAGCAATGTACTGAAAAACCTGTCTGGAATTACTATTAGTAATTAATTAATAATGACTATTTAACTACTGTACTGCGACGTCCTTCAATGAGAACTGGATTACATGGTTCTCTTCCCCTCCTTTAATCACACAACAACCCTGCGAGATAGGTTCCTCCAACCTGGCTGAGGCAGGACGGCTGGCTCGAGGTCACCCAATGTGGATTCATGCCTTATTGGGAACTAGAACCTTGACCACTAAGTTTCTAATCCAGCCCTGCAACCTCAAAGCTGTCCGAGTCGGCGAGGGTTGGATCCGGAAGTGGATGGATCGTGGACAAGTCAAGAAATAATTAAAAAGATATCGGACTGCGCCAAAATGGATAGACTAACACTGAAAATCAAAGGAAAAGAAGATACAAAATATTATCAAACATGGGTCTTATTCTATCATTGGTTAGAAGGATGGTGTATAGATGATTATTAACTGCACCCTGGTGTCACGGTGTTAACATCGATGGATTTTATATAATAAAAAGAAAATTAAACACACACACACATACACACACACGCACACACAGGTTCTAGGAAAAGACCAAGAGTATAAAATGTGGGAAATGTTTTACTCTGAACAGGTCTTAAAATAGTTTTACTACAAATGTGGGTTTTTATTTTCTGTACTCTTGAACTTGTTGCAGGTTTTGCTTGTCGGCCATAATCTCCAAAGCGTCACAGCCACTGCAAAGAGCGGCAAGTGCGCGCAGAAGGGCCCCGAATTCGCCGCTGTGGAGTTTCAGACCCAGGAAGCCTCAGGGCATGCCCAGGTGGCCTAAGGCATGCTCAGGCATGCCTTAGGACCACCCACTTTTCTACACAGACCCCCTGAGGGAGCAACGGCTCTGACAGGGGCAACCATTCTTCTTCAAAGGGGGTAGTCGACTTTGTCGCCCATGGACCAGCCTGAACCCTCTCGGGTTCTTCGGGCACGACGTCTTCTTATTGAAACGTCCATTAAGCTGGGTATAAACTTCTCCTGAGGGAGCAACGGCTCTGACAGGGGCAACCATTCTTCTTCAAAGGGGTTAGTCGACTTTGTCGCCCATGGACCAGCCTGAACCCTCTCGGGTTCTTCGGGCACGACGTCTTCTGGATCTGGGATCAGTAACGGGGTGGTCTCCTCGTCCCCAGTCCATCCCCAGAAAGCGGGTCTCTCATCATGCGGGAACTCCCAGGGGCCAGGAAACACCCCATCTTTCGTAATTCTTCCATATGCCATGCTTTCTTCTCCTCACGTTCTCTCTCAACCGCCTCCCTCTCTTCTCTCAGCTTACGCCGCCACTCACGGGTCTCTGTCTCACCCCAATAAGATGGACGCTGAGGTATTCCTCTCTTTCTACGTTCCTCAGCCTCTTTTCTGGGCACCCGGACCTGCTCCCACTTCCCAGTCCAAGGGTCCTGCATTGATACCCATTCCCATCCACCCGGGATGACGTCCCGAGTACTACTGATCTCCCCCGCTCCTACCTCAGCTACCTCCCTCCTCTCCTCCTCCTTTCCCGCCAAAAAGGGTGTCATCCGAGTCCCAACAGATAACCCTTTCATTCCCCTTTCCAAGTCAGCAGTATCCACAGCCTGATGTATCAAAGCGGGCGGGCTAGGTGGGGGATCCGTCTGGGTGCCTATATTCGCCCTGGGGCAGGACGGCACTCCAACCAGCACTTCTTGCCCCGAGGTTCAGGTTCCACATGCGTCATTAGCTGTCTTGCTCTTTTAGAAAAAAGCAGAATGTCAATGTTTTAAATAAATAAGAGTTGACTTTGACATCCTGCTTTTCTGTAAATGGTTGAATATTTGTTATTTTGTGTAATAGACTACATTGTAACATGTCTGCCAGTCTTTAAGGTACTAGATGACTTTCTGTTGTATTTGCTGCAGATGAACATGGCTACCCTCTGAATATTCTCCTGATATAAATTGTAAGGCCCAGCTGGTCTTGAAGTTGGATCTTTTATATAACAGCCAGTTATGTAACAAAAACCAAGCCGCAAAAGTTTTATTGACTCTCCACTGGCAAAGGATTTATTCTTCCAGACAGGTCAGCCTGCCTAGCCCCACCCCTGGCTTCCCCATTGGAACACTGGCAGACTTCTCAAGAGTAAACTTTCCCAAGAAATATTTCAAACCTAAGCTTTAACACTGGTCATGTTGCTTACATACCTGGCTATATTGCACTTAACCTCCCAGGTTTCTTCTGATTCTTACCTACTCATTCATTGTTGGGTTGCTTACAAGTATTTCTAACTTGTACTCCTTTTGATTATTATTAGAGACTGTGATATTATGTAAAAGATAGAAAGAGGGGCCAGTTATATGAGCTCTTGTTTTCCTAATGACTGAACTGAATCATTTGAGAACAGAATTAAGTTTACAACATTTTCAGAGTATTTTGAGATGGTTACTTGGGAAAAACAAATACCCTCACAAAATTAGTTTTTAATACTATGCTTGCAATTTCAAGAAATCGACCCACCCACATATGAAAAAGGAAACAGAGGGGGGGGAAGAGAGTAGTTAGTGAAGAGTGTGTAGCAACATGACAGTGGTCAGAGGTTAAAGGGGTTGCTAGAATAAAGAGCTCAAATGTTTTGTTAGGAAGAAAGCAAATGGCCAAGGTAAACCAGACAGAAGTGATAACTCTGTACTCAGACAGCTGAAGACAAACTCCCTGACTTTCTCACAGAGTTGTGAAACTGATAAGGAAAAGTTAACCCCCATTATATATTTTTTAAATAACAGAAAACAAGGAAGTCTCTGATTGAAGCACACACACACAGGTGAGGGTTTTTTTTTATGCTTTGTGTTATCCTCCTAGCGGAAAGATCTTTTAGATGCTTCATACCAACCCATCTTATATGGTTCTTGGATATGGAGGTTCCTCTTGGTGCTTGTTAATTAGAATTATTGAGTTTTTCACAGTACCTGAAATTCTGTTAGCACAAAAACATTTAGACTTCTGGGGCACACCGAGTGCGTCATTCCAGTTAGAGAAGAGTTCTGTTGGACTTGTACAGCTGTCTACACGGCTGCATTTCTTTTCACTGCTGATACCCAACATAGCTGGCATTTTGGAAAACAGGGCAATCAATCTTCGCTGACCATGAAGTACTCTTTACATACTAATCAAAACCAACAACTGGTTCACACAATACCTTTCTTTCAGAAAAGGGCTGTCCCAACCTGTGTTTGAGCAGAGAACATTGTAGTGCTGCCAGGTTCAATCCCAGGCATTTTCAATTGAAGGGCAGTCGTGGGGTCCAAACAAAATTAAATCCAAATTTAGTAGTCTATAAAGGTATCGCCTATTTTTGCGTTAGACATTTTCAAAGCAAGGATGGTGATGGGGGGAGGGGAGGGTGCTCTGTGAAACCCTGGCAAACAGCTGCCAGTCAGTATTAACACTGAGCTAAATCAGCCAATGGTCTGATTTGTGTATGGCAACTATATTTAGTTGCTCCTCTCACAACCACTGAATCTGTCTGAAACCACTGCCTGTACATGCAAACATGTTTATCACATACAGATTGGTACATGCGCACATCTTAAACCGTTGATGCACTTACAAATGAAATGGCTGGGATCCTATTAGTGTGTACATTAAATTTTGCATAACTTGCTCCAGCTAATTGCAGCTAACTGAGAAGATGCTGAGGCACATCTTGGTTGCTCAGATGGGCATATGACCAAGCATGCAACAAAGACACACCCTGGCATCCCGTCAATTAGCTATGGTAAGAGACACAAACTTTATGCATTGACTATTCCTGGTGATTTAACTAAATTCCTAATCCCAGCCCTGTTAGAGGCAGACCATGCTTCTGGCCATTCTTTCCTCCCTGAGCTAAAAAGAAATTCTTTGAATTTCAAAAAGGGAGAATGCATGACTCTCCTTGAGATGGGTTATAAATTCCAAACTACCAGCTGAGGACGGACTTGCACTCCTTCCCCCTCCAGAGGCCTTTTGCCTCAACATCAGCCATGTAGCTTTAAGACATCAATAACAGGATATAATTTTGGAGCTTCCCACAAGAACTTCAATGCACAGCCTTGAAGAAAACGATTTATCATGGAAAGCTCACTTTTTAAAAAAAATATTCTTAATGGTAGATTAAATATACCACCTGTTCCTAAATTTGTACAGGCTTTATGGTATACCAATAGGAGCAATGTACTGAAAAACCTGTCTGGAATTACTATTAGTAATTAATTAATAATGACTATTTAACTACTGTACTGCAACGTCCTTCAATGAGAACTGAATTACATGGTTCTCTTCCCCTCCTTTAATCACACAACAACCCTGCGAGATAGGTTCCTCCAACCTGGCTGAGGCAGGACGGCTGGCTTGAGGTCACCCAATGCGGATTCATGCCTTATTGGGAACTAGAACCTTGACCACTAAATTTCTAATCCAGCCCTGCAACCTCAAAGCTGTCCGAGTCGGCGAGGGTTGGATCCGGAAGTGGATGGATCGTGGGCGCATCCTTGCCCTGGGTTTCCCACCAGCCCCGCAGCGTGCTGAACGAGCCCCCGTTTGCCAGAAAAGCCCCCCTCCTCCGGCGTCCCCATCAGCTCCCGGCTGCGGTGGGCAGGGCCAGAGCAACGTGGCGCCGTCCAGCCCCATCTGCTAACACACACACACAAACTTTTTTTGAGTCCTAGAGAGTTAAAAGGAAAACTTCGGATCCTTCATTCACCCTGACATTCCGCCACGATCCAATCCGGTCTCGTCTCTTTCTTGGTCTGCCGGAGGTACAATATTCTGGCGAGGTAGGGGGGACTGCCCCAGCATCCGGGATGCGAATTCCCGATCCGGATTCTGGAAGCCCAATCGCCGCCTGGCCGGGGGCTGCGTATCCTAGCGGAGCCCCTCGCATCGGAAGGCGGGACGTGCCTCCCCTCGGCGCTCCGATCGATGGCTGGGAGACGCTGAACCGCTTCCTTTAGGGTCGGTTCCCGGAAACTCGCAGGGATTTCTCTCTTCCTTTGCCTGCTCTACTGGATCGGGCAACAAACTTCGGAGTTGAACTTTCTGTGCCTTTGCCATCATCGCCATGGGTAAGCGGGAGAGCTTTAAGACATCAATAACAGGATATACAGTAATTTTGGAGCTTCCCACAAGAACTTCAATGCACATCCTTGAAGAAAACGATTTATCATGGAAAGCTCACTTTTTTAAAAAAATATTCTTAATGGTAGATTAAATATACCACCTGTTCCTAAATTTGTACAGGCTTTATGGTATACCAATAGGAGCAATGTACTGAAAAACCTGTCTGGAATTACTATTAGTAATTAATTAATAATGACTATTTAACTACTGTACTGCAACGTCCTTCAATGAGAACTGAATTACATGGTTCTCTTCCCCTCCTTTAATCACACAACAACCCTGCGAGATAGGTTCCTCCAACCTGGCTGAGGCAGGACGGCTGGCTTGAGGTCACCCAATGCGGATTCATGCCTTATTGGGAACTAGAACCTTGACCACTAAGTTTCTAATCCAGCCCTGCAACCTCAAAGCTGTCCGAGTCGGCGAGGGTTGGATCCGGAAGTGGATGGATCGTGGGCGCATCCTTGCCCTGGGTTTCCCACCAGCCCCGCAGCGTGCTGAACGAGCCCCCGTTTGCCAGAAAAGCCCCCCTCCTCCGGCGTCCCCATCAGCTCCCGGCTGCGGTGGGCAGGGCCAGAGCAACGTGGCGCCGTCCAGCCCCATCTGCTAACACACACACACA